CCCCCCGGATGGCTGGGGAAGAACTGGACCCCCTGCAGCCTTGGGGAAAAGAGGGGGGGGCCAAGAGCCAGGGCCAGCCCAGGCAGCCTCAGGACAGGGCCCTCGCTGGCAGTGGTGGTGGGTAGTGGGGGAGAAAGAGCTGAAGCTGGGGCTGCCACGGACCCTTTCCAATGTTGGGGGGTAACTAGAATCGAGTGGCCTTGGCCCTAAGCTCTGCCTTGCCAAGAGGGAGGTTGGTGAGCATAGCAAGCAGGGGGCACAGCCCCCTAGTGTCTTTTAACCAAACTATGATATCCTCTTTAATGCTAAGAAAGAGCACAGTAGTAGAGCACAATGCTAGGAGTCAGACTGATATTGAGAGATGATGAGTTTCTACAATTTGTCAAACAAAATAAGGGATCTATCTATCTTGTAAAGTCAGATCCTTAGCTTCTGTACTTCAGGTTAGCAATCTGTACAATTGTAATATACTCAACTATATAAGGTGTTGTGAAGCTTTTTAATATTTCATAACACATTATGAAGTGGGTCTTTGCCCACGAAAGCTTATGCTCCAACATTTCAGTTAGTCTATAAGGTGCCACAGGACTCCTCGCCGCTTTAATACATTATAGTAGTTAGAAATTTAATTAAATTGAAATAGGATTTTACCCAAACTTGCTGGCAGATTCTTCAATCATTTCATGCAGGTTCTCCTTTAATGCAATGTCCATGGAATTAAACTTTTGTTTCACCTGCTTCAAAGGCAAACTACGAAATGGGGAAAAGTCATTTTTTAAACATACATTTAAAACGTATCTTCATCTAAAGGAAAGAAGATTGTCCTGTAAGTAGAATTCATACAACAGGGCAGCTCTAATTTACAGCTCTTCATATTCATCAACCTGAAATATTGATGAGCAGATGTGGAAGAGTGCAGGTCATTTTATATATCTATAGAGCAATAAAAACACATATCTTAAAACTCATGAGTACAGTAGTGTCAGCAGAGCAGAAGTAATGAAGAACTAGGTCAGTATTCTATCCATCCATAACAGCATTTCCATATATGATATTAAGTTAACTCTATTTTTTACTATTTGTTATATCCTGAATATTTTTCATATGCTTCCTTATTAAAAAGTACAATGTAGTGCTCCCTTTTCCCAATGAATCTTTATAACTCACCCCATGTCAGCAAAAAACTCCTGAAGTCTCTTGTGCCCTTGTACTGACCAAAGTTTGAAACTGGCAGAAGTGTAACAAGTGTTACAGACACTTTCATATAGGGACCAATGTTGATAAAGAGCCAGGCGCAGACTGAGAACATTAACAGGAATTAGGGAAAAATAGTCATTTAGAGCATACATATTTGTTTACAAATTACTAATAAACTTAGCGATTACTATTATTCTTCTCTACCCTCACCAGACATACCATTTTAATCGACATTAACTAGATTCCACTAGAATAAAGATTTCCAAATGTGAATAAGAACATTACTGCAGCGAAGACTAACTCACGTAGATGTCACTTCTCCCCCGCCCCTCCCCCCCATCTGTTTTTCCTGGATTTGTATTCCAGTTCTTTAGTTCTGGAAGGTTGGATTGTGCTACTAGAGTCATGCTCAAATAGTGGAAGAGGGATTCATCTGCAATAAGTCAGTCAAGTATCTGTTTCTTCCAGTTCAATTCCTAGCTTGTACGCAACCTTAATAAGCTTCCTTTTCCTAGATTAGGGCTTTAGTCTATCAAATCAGGGTTTTTTGAACCCCTCAATATTTATTAGTCAGATATAAGGATACTCATATTCAAATGCTATTCTCATGCAATCAATAGAAAGGGAGTTCTCATCATCTTCATTGCGGTGATTATGCCGGGACACATGACGCTGTAAAGTTCCGATATCAGTCACATACTTCATTCTTTAAAAGAAAAAAAATTAAGTCATTTTCTTCCCCCTTGGTACTTATATTCTTGTTGGCTACAAAACTCTTTCCTAAGGCTTACACCTTGCCTAGCCACCTTCACATAATTAAAAATTATGAAATGACTAGGGGGTTGCATCCCCTGCTTGTAACATTTATTAATACAGTGTCTGGCCAGGGGAAAGGAGGCAGGAGCAGGCTGGGGGTGCAGGGTCTTGGTGGAAGAGGTAAGTGAAAGGGCTGAAGGTGTGAGATCTCACCAGGGAGGTGAGTGAGGGGGCTAAGAGTACAGGGTTTTGGCTGAGGGTGTGAGACAGAGCTAGGAGTGTGGGGAGGGTGCGCAGCTTACAGCTCTGGGAAAGGCACACAGCTCCAGCCCTGCGGCATTGATTGGGGGCTCAGAAGGGAGGTGGCAGGTTGGCTGAGGGCAGGGGGACACAGAGGGACACCTGTTGAAATTTGACACCACCTACTGACGCCACTTTGTATACCTCAAAGTCAAACAAAATTAGTGTCTTCATTGCAACGGTAGCACATACTAAAATGAACATAGTTACAGAATTTATCCTCATCCTCACAAAATAGAGAGATTAATGCAGATAGATTTAGGAAGAGCAGACTACATAAACTGAAATCTACCATATCGTAAGTATAGACAATGCAAGATACAGAAATTAATGATGGATTAGAGAAAAATGTTGTAAACTTTGAGTTTTTCCTTTAATGAAACTATTGTAACACAGACATCTTTCAATTAACCACAATTAAGCAATGTGAGTACCCTACAGAGTATTAGCAGAGGTCATTTTACAAAATGAGTAATGTGGAATAGAATAAAGTTCATTAAAAATCTTTTCTATTGTTTAAAGGTTTCTCATTTCAAAATACAATTTGTTTGAATAATACGTACGCCATATTCATTCGCTAATACAGGCTGCCTCCGACTTGCAACGCGATCGGTTCTGGAGATAGCGTCGCAAGTCAGGGCAGGGGGAGGTGCGTCATCGTAACTTGAGTCTGCATTTATGACAGGCATCGTATGCCATCGTAAATGTGGGGCGAAGGACATAATCCGGGGGATTTCGGCCCCTTCCATACTTACAGAAAAGGTCATGGGGGGCCATGGAGGGTTCATAAATCGTGCCATCGCAAAGTGGGGGCCTCCTGTACAATAACCTGACTAATGTGGTTGCATACTAGAGATGTTAGCATGTAGACATTTAAATGATTAAGAGGCAGCAAGAGACGGGTGGGAGGAGAAGGCAGAAGCCAGCTTCCTGCAGAGCACCCTGCCCCCCTCCACTACCTCCCATAGAGGGCAGGTGGGAGCTGGTGCTGAAGGGGAGGAGACTTCCCATGAGCACTGGATCCCGTGGAATTGCCTGCTGCCTATGATACAGAGGCAGCAGCATGGAAGGTGGAGGGGGAGGGACAGTCGGGAGCTACACATGCGGAAAGCCAGCTTTCAAGCTGGCTCTTCATGTGTATCTGCTCCTACAAAGTCACCTGCTCCCTCTCTTGCTGACTTCCATGGAGCCAGTATTCAGTGGGAGCCAACACAGAGGCAGCAACACGGGCTGGAAGGGCAGGGAGGATGCCGGAGCAGTCTCTGTCCATGGGGAGCTGCCAGCCCTGCCTCCGGAAGCATTTTAATAACTATGTAACTCCTGAAAGCTATTGCAGCTACATCCTTACTAAAATAACCATATCTAATATGCTGCGTACATTAACATACAGACTTCCTGATGCAAATAAAAATAGGTGAACAACTTGCTTACTGTGTGATTTTATCTTGAACCCACTGGTCAGTAAGTCCAACAATAGCCCACCTAAAAATGGATAAGAAAAATTCAGGTAAGAAAAGAATCTAGTTGAATGTGAAAAGGTTAAGCCTAAAGATCAGTGATGGGTAACCTAGGCTAGCAAGAGGGCCGGATGAGTGGCCCTCCATCTCAATGGGCCGCAAGATTGTTATAACCAAGATAGCAAAACTACGCTCTCTCAGGAGACTAACTGCACTTGCATATCTAGAATTTGCAGGATGTACTGACTGAACCGTAGTAGGGCTTTGATCAGATGCAGAGGGAGCACATCGCTCTCAGTGTCAATTTGGGTGAAATCAGCACAAACCTCAATTCCCGTGGGTGTCACTATAGTAATACCAATAGGAAAAAAACTAGATGGACAGAAATCAACCGAGCCTGACAACCTTAGGCAGTAAATAAAACATCTCGTGGGCCACACATAGAACCCTGATAGGCAGCATGTGGCCCTCAGACCACAGGTTGCTCGCTACAGCTGTAGATGCCTGTTCTTTTATAACATTTAGAAGAGGAAACAGACACCTTAACTAAATTCACAGAGCATGTTCACATGGGAAAGCTGTTGTATTTTTACTTGATAAGATACTTTACAAACGTAGCCGCAGAAATAATTTCAGTGGCCCAAATAGTATATTTCTGAAACACAACAGCTGACTTTAGAGGAAATACATTTCCACAAGCTTAAGACAAATGTTTTCCAACATAAAATTTAAAAAGTGTCTCACATGTTGGCTACAAATACTTTTGAGGAATTTTGTCCATTTTGCTACGGAATCAGCTGGTACTATTACTATAAATAATGAACGTTGACACCATAAATGGATTACATACCACAACATGTCATTCAAGTCTTTAGACATTATCCATGCCAAGTCAAACATCACCATGGCAGACTGCAAGAAAAAAAAAGGAACGATAATAATCCTGACAATTAGTAAAATAAATAGCAGAACCCTTTTGCAAAAAAATTCATGTATCCATTTAATTGAACAGACAGGTTCAAAACTGTATTCTAATCTCTTACTTCCCAAACTGAGATGAGGGACAAAAAGTGCCTTTTGTGATTCACTTATCCTTCTATGTTTGCATTTAAATTACATTTAACAAGGTAATATGGTACAGGCAGTCCCCGAGTTACATGGATCCGACTTACATCGGATCCCTACTTACAAACAGGGTGAGGCAACCCCACACTAGCTGCTTCCCCCCAGCAGACCAGGGAGACGCGGAGCAGCTTTTCTCAGCAGACACCTCAGCATGAGAATAAAGGACTGAGGGAAGTGAGGTGTGGGAGAATAAAACTGAGCTCTGGAGAAATGTTTGGCTAGAGTTTCCCCTACAATATGTACCAGTTCCGACTTACATACAAATTCAACTTAAGAACAAACCTACAGTCCCTATCTTGTACGTAACCTGGGGACTGCCTGTAGTTATGAGATGGAACAATTCAATAGTTTAAACTTTGGAACTGAAATACCTACTTTCCTTGAAAATAAAGGTATAAATCTAAGCAAGGATATCTGAACCCTCATTTATTTCCTTTTCTGAAAAATAAACTGAATTCCATGAAAGTGTGGACATTTCAGGATATACCTTTACAAAATAAAAAGGGGATGGCCTTTTCTTTTTTTATTAACATTAAATATCCCATACAACGACAAGCCCAATGTTAGGGGTTCCTAGCCCTGTTGTCAGCCAGAATTTCCCCTTCCCCTTTGTGCAACTGGGTTGCTGGCTCCCAATGCAGCAGTGGCTGCCATTCACTGCTGTACAGATACAGGCAGTCCCCGGGTTACATACAAGATAGGGACCGTAGGTTTGTTCTTAAGTTGAATCTGTATGTAAGTCGGAACTGGCATCCAGATTCAGCTGCTGAATCTGGACACCAGTTCCGACTTACATACAGATTCAACTTAAGAACCCCAGGCGTCCCCAAGTCAGCTGCTGCTGAAACTGATCAGCAGCTGATTCCAGGAAGCCCGGGGCAGAGCAACTCTGCCTCGGGCTTCCTG